TGATTTTTAAAGATCGTAATGGGAAAACATAAATTCATCGCAACGGTTGCCCATGTCGTCTGGCACACAAAACGGTTGATTCGAACATTGGGAAATTACGTGCGATATTCCATGCGAATGGCCGTGATGGGGAATGGGACCCACGATTATGTATCGGTAATCCTGCGGCGGATAAAGTTGTAAAGCTTTATCTTACCAGTGTAACGCGTGAACAGTTACAAGCCCGTGTCACTTCTAAGCAAGCACCCCGTTTTTCGTGGATAAACTTACACAATTATCCCAGCATATTCAGAACTTACTGGTGAAACCCGGGACCTCTGCCATTCAACGGTTTATCCTAGCCAGAGATCAAGCTTACTTTAAGACCGCCTTTAGTGGTGATCGCCCTGCCGATTTGGGTTAAATTAAGGTTCCCGAGATATTACGCTTTCCTAACGACGACGGCTTCCTATTCAATCATATTTGGGGCAAAACGCTGAGAGATGGTGATTCTCAGGTATTTGGGATCCGTCGTAACCCTCATACTCTTATTTGTCCTATCACAGCTATTGAACAGTACGTAGACATAGCAAGGCAAATTTCTGTCGACCTAACCCGGGGCTACCTTTTCCGTCCAACGACTCCTTCCGGTGCGGTTCAGGATGCTCCATTTACATCTTCCGCTGCTGAATCCCGTTTGAAAAGTTATCTCAAAGAAATGCGCTCCGATAATAGGGAAACATTACATGGATTTCGGTCCGGTTGTTCAATTACCTTAGCGCTGCGAGGAGTCAAGCTATCCGAGATCATGGATCACGTTGGCTGGACTAGGCGGCATACGGCATTGCACTATCTCCAGCTCGCTAAAGTCCTCAACCCGACAGGTGCCTCAGCAAGATTGGCGGCTACACAATTTCATGAAGCTACTAATGATTGGGAGGACCTTAATAAGCTGCGCCGGTTTGTATCCGCTTTTCCTGTGGAACAGGTGCTTAAACGCTTTTCGTCAATGGAGTAATCGTCTTTGGAGGAATCGCACTTGGTTATAGCAACGGTACATCCACACATTAGAATTGGCTCATCTGCTATTCATATTAAGATTTATTGATTATATATATGTATATACGTCATATTTTTAAATTGAAAATAGAAAGCTGATTGGCTGTCGTTTAAAAAGAGCCAATCAGCTTTATATTTTCAATTTAAAAATATGACGAAGGTATAGGCAAGGTGTCCCCAGCATAGGTTTTGAAATATATTTGCCAGAAACCCAAAAAACATTCACGTTTTATACATGCATAGGAATACATTTGAATGCTAAAAATATAGTATAAATGTAGTAAAATTATTCAAATTTAATGTGTTGTACTTTTTTTTCTTATTCGCCATATTTTTATGAAATATTTGCGGTTTTGTGAAGGTGTTTGAGTCAACCGTCGTGCGTTTTTATCTTATTTGGCGTGAGAGTTGCCTACCTTGTCATAATATAAGACTGCTCAGACAACATGAGCGTCGCGCGAGGTCAGCGAGATCAGTTCTGGGCCGCCTATGGTCTAGCGCAAACTCTGCGACGAGCCCTCGTGGACAACATTCCGGGGGGACAATAATTCAAGCATACATTTGTTCACAACCATAATCAATCAACAACCCGATTAAAATTTGTCCGTTTTTGCTGTTAATATTTCGCATAACGACATTTCTCATAACAGGTCTCCGCGTTTAAATTGCATGTTCTTGGTTTCACAAAGCTAAAAAATAAACCAGAAATGTATTCGTGAAAATGTATTCGTGAAAATGTGCCCCCCCTGCAATGTTGCCCACGAGCATTTGTCGTGGTGGGTGCGCTAGACTTTCAAATTATTTTTAATCTTTCGCACTTGAATTTTATTCCCGATAAACAAGGAGTGGTTTTTTACTTCCAAGCGGGACAAATGCTTTTAAATTTTGGATAGCTGCTATTGTACTATCAATTATTTATAGATGCTGTGAAAAAAATACAGCTGGGGATCAAGAACTGGCATTTATCGTGAAGAAAGGCGACGAGACATGGCAATGGCGACATAATTGATAAAATGTCAAGGAACACAAAAATGAAAAAAATATTACACGGCACTACTTCAAAACCCATCAGAAATTGGTTGAATAATTCTTTAGTCCACTAGAATCGTGCTAAAGTACAGTATTTGGATGGTGCTTGCGACGGACGGCGAAAAACGGCGATCAAATTTGCAAAATATGGGTGAAATCGTGTTATGGCGGGGGGTAAGTGAAATGAAATATGTCGTATCGCAACAAAACATTGTTATTTCCTAGGAAATTTATAATATATTAAAATAAGCAGGTTTTTTCATCATATGGCAAAACTTTGCCAGGTGAATCTGTAATTTTATGCAAAATTAGCAGTTGACCTGGAATAGTAAACATTCATTTTCTTGTAAAATATGAAACTTATGAAAAATATGAAGGGCTAATTTCACCCTCCAGTGACCACCCGTAAAAGCAACCATTCTGAACCATATAAACAACTCAGAAAGACTGTAGCTTTGATAATTCAGAATTTAGAGCTATGTCGACTATGCCGTTTCTGGGTGTGGTCATTTTCAGGACTTTCGTCCCGGATTCAGATTTTGGCACATATGTCATGTTGACCGCCATGGTCATTTTACCTTAAAACAGTTGAGATAATCTGTCCTAAATGAAATGCAAACAAACTCCTTTACAGGTCCTAGACTAAATTCACAAACGATGAGCTTTCCCAAAGCTCTAAATTTGTGCAAGTCCCTTATGAAGGAGTGTCCAACTTCGTTACATCTCCTCTCCCAGCTTCAAGGGTTTCTAGAGTCTTGCCGATCAGCAGTTTGGATTGCTCCACTGCACTTCAGACACCTACAAAATTGCTTAATACGGCAGGTAACGTTGAACAATGGGTCATATCAGGGGACAGTCCACTTGGACTCCCTGGCTCTGGAGGAACTTCAGTGGTTGATCACCAAAATCAAGCGGGTGAATGGGAGCCCAATCTACCCTCCAACATCCGAGATGATCATAACCTCGGACGCATCCAAAAATGGGATGGGGTGCCACTTGCAGCAATCGGTCAACGAACGGACGTTGGTCACATCAAGAGAGCCTCCTTCATATCAACGTAGTGGAGCTCAAAGCGACCTTCTTAGCAGTGCAAACTTTCCTGAAACATCAGTCAAATATATCAGTAAAACTCCGCCTCGACAACACAACGGCGGTTGCTTATATAAACAACCAAGGAGGCACTCGCTCACCCAGTCTCAATTCACTAACACTCGAATTATGGAACTGGTCTCTCCAACACAACATCCTGATCACGGCAGAACATCTTCCAGGTGCTCTGAACGTTCAGGCAGACAAGGAATCACGAACATTTGTCGACTTGAGACTGCTACCACACATAATACAACCCTTTCTGAAGGACAGAGAGATAGATTTGTTCGCAACAAGATTAACCAACCAGTTGCACCAATACGTAAGTTGGCGCCCAGACCCATATGCAGTGGCAACGGACGCATTTTCAATAGATTGGCGTCCACTAAAAGGCTATGCGTTTCCGTCTTTCCCTCTCATCCCAAGGACTTTAATGAAAGTGATTCAAGACAATGCGAACCTACTCCTAGTAGCACCAGTATGGCAAACTCAACACTGGTGGTCACTCCTAATTGACTCACGGTCAAGCACCCAGTTTTACTCCCAGTGTCACCAACACTCCTGGAAGATCCATCGAACCCGAGACTACAACTAGCCGTTTGGACTATTTCCAATAGTGCTGAACAACAGAAGGATTTTCGGAGACGGTTCCCGTCTTTTCTCCTCAGCAACACGACTGTCCACCAACAAAGCATACGACTCGGCATGGGCATAGCTGGTGTCATAGAGGGAAAGTCAATCCTTTCGTCACTCGGTTAATGAAGGGAATTGCAAATGACAGACCTCCAAAACCCAGGTATAATACCAACCTCGTACCCAGGGTCTTTAACCTACGTTCCACGGCCCACGCTGCGGCGAAGACCCTGGTTACCGCTGGTCACGTGATTATCATTTTCCCCCAAAATCTGGGGGAAAATTAAAATATTATCTAGGGCGGGGTGGGAAAGGAGCGTGTGTGAAAAATTGTGAAATATCCTAAAAGTTTCATTACAATATTTCGCGACTTTACCTCGACATTGCTTGCATTTACTGTAAACGCTAAATGATCAAATCCTGTTTTGGGGGACACAATGCATCAAATCACATTTAGTAATCAAATTACAGACTTGAACATGCGTTTAAGCTCGAATTTCATTCAAACTTGAATTTCATTCTTCGCCGCAGCGTGGGCCGTGGAGCGTAGGTTAAAGACCCTGGGTACGAGGTTGGTATAATACTACCTAGGATGTGTCGAGAGTTACAACACATCTTTCTTCTTTGGGAGAAAACAAGTCGTTATCACTTAAAATTCTCTCAAAGAAACTACTAATGTTATTTGCTCTGGTATCACCGGAACGATCATCAGTCCTTTTGGGAACTGGACATCAGGTATAAGAGAAAACAACCTGATGGGGTCGTATTCACCCTTACAAAGCCTCGAAAAACTGGCGATCCCACGTCCCTGGCTACAGCAACATTTCCACGTTTCTTACAAGACCCCAAACTCTGCCCATGCGATTGTCTTGAAACCTACCTGAAAGCTACGGAGAGACTCCGTTCAGGTGAAGAAAGTAAGAAGCTTTTCCTTTCCTTTCAACGTCCACATCGCCCTGTGGCCAAAGCCACAATCACGAATTGGTTATGCGATATTTTCTTAGCTGCTGGAATAGACTCCACAATATTTAAAGCTCATTCGACTAGAGCAGCCTCAACAACCGTAGCAGCTAAGCAACATCTACTTTTATATAACATCCTTAAGATGGGCGACTGGACGTCGCCATCAACATTTTAACGTTTTTATTACAAACCTACCATTGATGAAACTTATGCCAAAACAGTTCTAACTTGCCAAAATTCTTGTTACATTCATACTGTATTTCAATTAATTAATTTGAGGCAATGAATGGACTTTATTATGGAGTTATCGTTCCATTTGTATTGCAGTCCAAACTATCCGTGCAGCAAGAAGCACTGAATTCTAAGATCTACAATCTTGGGCAAAAGTTTTTACCCCGCATTTTAGTCGGGTCAAATTAATGCAACAACGACAATAGATAATGCCATGATAGAAAAGTTAAGTTGGGGGAATCGTTGAAATCTATTGACTCTTGTCTAACTGAACACTACACTACGTAATATTGATGCACTAAAACTATATAGCTGTAATTATAAAAAAACTGTAATTATAGCTACGATGATGGCAGACAAGATAAAATTATTTTTGGCATATCGCTTGATGAGTGTAGACGTTCATAACATGTCGACTTTGCCTAAATTTGGCCTGAACGAGCTTCGAACAACCGCGATCCCAGGTATTAGTAAATTTCTCACACACCCGTCCTCGCAGCGACTCAAAATTAGAGTTGAGATTAAATTTCAGGGATTAAATATCCTGAAGTTCGACGTCTGGCGATAAAGAGAATGGTGGTGGAAATGAGAGATCCAAATTATTCATCGTTTTTGGTGGTATCTTGGTACTCTACAAACACATAAATTATATACTGATTGAAAAGGACGTTAATTGCCTAATTTCAGTATTATATAATAGACAGCGTGTATGTTAAGTGGTACAAACCTTAGTGGTTCTCATTGGCGTTGGAGTGTTGAACATCTTAAAAGCGTGCATTGCATTTGGTGAGCTTGATAAAGAATTAAATTAAAGTTGACGACCAAAATATAAATCCTTACAGCCATTTATAGCAAACTCTATTAAAGTTTAATTAAAGTCTCTATTTAAAACTGTCTTTATGTTGATGTGAAGAAGCGTGGCTTGCATGCCGGACGATAAAATTATTTCTTTCTTTAAGAATTTATTGTTTTCATATTCAACGAACACCAAAATATTAGAATAGTGGGGCTAAATCGCCAGGCTGGCTACGTATTTCAATCTAATACCTTCCATTTTGTCATTTCATTGATCACAAAATAAGCCCCCCTTTCAACTAAGCCTCCCTTTCTTAACCACTCTTCTGGAAAGGGTGGGAAAAGAATAAATTCGGTAACGATTGGTGGTCATATACATTTAAGAATAATAAAGAACAAAAAATTTAGGCCTACCGTCTGCCGAATAATTAAAAATCAATCACTTACCCGCTGAGCCATTCATTCCTTGCAGGCGTGTTGGTACTCTGTAACAAAAATATTTTATCAATTGATCAATGGAAAAGACACAAAAGGCAGCGAGTATAACTTAACCTCGATTCGACAATAGGACAAAGTTAGCCACATTCAGACGCCTATATTAGGGTTAGGTTGATAGCAAGCAATATTGCAACCATTCTAATTATATAGCTACAACAATAGCAAATCATAGTTTATTAGTTCAATAGATATTGCGATTTCCAGTTGAGCGTAGAATTGCGAAAGTTTGTTCGTTAAGTTTTGTAGTTTGAGAGCAATGTTTGTGACGTCATCTAATAATGTTGTTAGGCGACGCTCACCAAGTTGTCAAGGGAAACTGTCAATTTTGTGACTATAAATAAAAGATCTGTATAGCGGTTGATAGCCGCTATTTTTACAGTATCTATTTATAGCCATTAGAAAAAAAACTTGAAACAAATAACAGATAAAACTTCAAGAGGCTAAGAATCATTGGGAGGATGAAGATGTGCAATTTCAACCAAGCCCAAGGGTAGCCTGCCTATTTGTTTAGCTGGATCTCATTAGCCAGAAGAAATAGTTTTTCTGTACTGACGTATATCATTATATATCATGTACTGTATATTGATGAGCTTATTAGCTTGAACCTATGGTGATGAACTATTAAATTGAAAGCTTCCAGCAGTCAGCACCATGCTGTGGTCAGCACTATAATTGTCTGACTGCACAGGTGATGCTCCTTCCATGGTATAAAACCAGTGATTATGGTCCCTGTGCAGGTCATATGCTTTTCTATACTTGCAAATGATAATGCAGAGGTTGTATTAAGGAAGATTAGAACCAGGGATGTTTGTAGGTCAAGATATTCATGGCAATTATTATTGATTATATGCAAAAGGGGCTTTCCAGCTTCTCCCAGATTAGCCTGCAATGACTGGAAAGGTTCTTTGGAAAAGAAATAAACAAAGCCTTATCAATTTTAATATTCATTTTCTTTTAACAAAACATTGTATTTTGTAAAAATCATAAAACAGTTTTTGTATTTAAGAATGTGTGTAGTTCTTGTGTAAAATAGTATAGTTGTCTCAATGCCATTTGCATAATATGCCTCCAGTTGATCCACCAAACCCTATGTTATCCTTGCAAAAAAAAAGGTGGGTCAGAGATTAAGTGTGTGTATTTATACAAGATTATAACAGATAATTTAGTGTCAGCTACTGAGGCCATGATGATGCCTCAATTGGAGGTGTGAATGAATTTAGGCAAGTTATTCTCAGACCTTACTCCTTCAGAATTTTAATTCCTATTGCATCCTTCAAATACTTTGATCTAATATATCTCGTATTTTCTTCATCAAAAGATGGGCTAGACACATTGATCTGGTTGGACCTGGCTCAACTACATGGATGTAAATCAGTGTAAAATATAATGGATAAACAAATATTAATAGAAATATGTTGTAGGTAAGCAAATTAAAGCCCCGTTTACACTACACTGGATTTATTGGCACGGCACGGCTAAAATGGGTACCCGTGCCCATTTCATCTGTGCTAGGCCTTTGTTTTGGTAGCCCGAACGCCAATAAAAATGGGCACGGGTACCAATTTTAGCCGTGCCGTGCCAATAAATTGAGTGTAGTGTAAACGGGGCTTAAATGTTAGTAAAATATATCATTTCGGTTTTCAGATCTTTCATAGCCGTCGAACTACGAAACTATACTTTTACTTGACGTTCAGGTTCAGACATCAAAAATTTCCTCTTTGATAAGTAAATTGCAGTAGGAACAAGCAGAGCAAATTGCTGCTTCTTTGTTGAAGTTGAAAAGAACCAGCAAAAAGGGAAAAAATCCATCAGTTTTTGTGCAATTACAAAAATGTCGTTAAAACAAAATTCTTGTTTTTATCGAAAACCAGGAGGTTGCTCGCATTTTTTCATGCTTTGGATCCCGGTTGGTAAGTGGTAACTATCATTTTTTTTAAACATCAAAACACGTTTATTAATAGTAGGCAACTAAAAAACTAAATATAAAAGTTCTACAGAATATTTACAAAAACAACTTAACTAGACTAGCTAATGTTGATGTGATGGATGCAGTCCTCCAACTTCGAATCCAACACAATTTAGTCCTCCAACTTCGAATTCCACGAACACACACCACGCGAGCTCTAATCAAAGCAAAGGTGATCTTTCGTCGTAACCAGCTAACCACAATAGATGGAGAATGATTCTTCCTGTCAGCCAGCTTCGCACCCAGGAAGGAGAGAAAATGTTGGGTCTCTCTTCCGCATCCGCCAAAGGCGCTGAAGACGACCGGTGTGAAGGAGCCATGCTCGACTTCAACAATCCGTTTGTTGTAATGTCGCTTCTTTTCCCGTTCGCTGGCTTTAAACGAACTGCTCAACCTTGGCGTCGATGTGTTGAGGCGTAACTACCATTGCAAATAAGAACCAGTGGCGTCAATCTGACGTCAGCGAAGGCCAAAATCCGCCATGTTTTTTGCTTCACTTTTTGCATTTCAAAACATTAGGAGCACTGATTTCCTGCAAGTCCTCCAGGAATTATAGTATAGCTCAGTGGGTGATTACTTTTCGCCAATTACAAAATCAAGCATAAATCTCTTGTTTTTATGAGTGCAACGTCCGGAAAACGAAAGATTAGGCTACCTTTTAATTAAGGAAAGATTGCAAAATTTCCTTTGAAAATGCAACCGGCCATCAACACAATTTAGTTCATCTGGTACGTCTGAGAGTATGTTTGCTTAAATTTGCTTAGCAGTTTACCTTTTTAGGCGAACGACGTTTTGCAATTCTAGGACTGCGTCGTAAAGAGGAATTATCACGCGGTTTCTTTGACTTCGTCGTACGACGTCTGCCAGGAGTTGACGTGTTGTCATCTAGTGAAAAAAATGAAGACGATATAAGACATCTTGCAAATAATGCGTGGTTAAACACTGAACAGAACTGAACCAATCTCAATAATACGAACAAAACATGAATAAAACATAACCGAAAACAAAATCGCTAAAAGTGTACGATAAGAAAAAACGAAAACGTCAATCTCGTAGCTGCGACGACTACGTATGCTAGAAGAAACCGAGCACCCCCTGGCCTTTCGTAATAACCCGTTTTTTTCCCAAACACGAGAAAAGTGACTTCAATGTTTTTCTTTTAATTTTTAACAATAATCTTTTTGATATGGATTTAGACAGATATGATCGCGATATCAAATTTATTAAAGAACGATTTCAAAGTCATCTTGACATGTATGTCATGTCACTTTGGTCGTCTGAGGCCTAATTAAATCGAATTAGCTGCTTACTTTCAACATTTATCTTTGGTAAGTTTCCTTCAGATGATGCTATGTTGCTTTCAAGTTCTCTTGCATTAATTACCGAAGTTTTATCAAATGGATTAAATGATATGGGCCAAAAATTACCCACAAATTTTGTGACCCTTTCGAAAAACGATAATGAATCCCTTTGTTCATTTGTCACCGCTGCAAAAATGAAAAAAAAAGAAATTGGAGACATGCCATTCAAATGCCATGTGTATATTTGTCTAAATAAGTTAAAGGGAGAATGACTGATGCCAAAATTGTTGGAAAATTTTATTGACAATAGGTATCCACCAAACAATATCGTGGGAAAAAACATACGCAGTTAAAATCATATCGTGAAAAAATAAAGAGATACGCCAGAAAACAGATCATCAGAAAAGATTATGAAGTTTATAGAATAAAATTATTTGACAAAAATACCATGAGAAAAAACTTACCAATATCCTTCGCTAGTCTTGGGACCTTTCTTGCCCGGCAATTTTCGTCGTTGTGGAGCTTTCGTTTTACGTCTAAACGTTCAGCGTTTAACAGCTAGGAAATACTGACAACGATCGCTAAAATAATCCAGATATGCCATAAACTTAACTTGTTTTCTCGAGTATCCTACCTTGGTTACAATGAACGTTGCTTGTGTCTGTAATTATTGCCTGAAAGGCATCCACCTCCCAATCATAGATAGTCCAACGCCACATGACAGGCACAAAGTACGACCTCCTTAGTCTGAAATCAAGAAACAATAAACGGCCTTGTATACGGATCTAAAGAAACATTGTCAGCAACAACGCATTGCACGCCTGTATTTTTTTATTTTTCGGTTGAGAAATGCGCGATATAGTTAGTTTAGTGGCTTGATACAAAGTCCCGGAAATAGTCAAATGCACATTTTGAATAAGAAAATTAGGCGTCCAAATGTTTCGCTAAAAGACCAAAATTGAAACGCAATGCAAAATGGGATGCCATCTTAAAGGTCTTCCTAATCGATCCTGGAAATTTCTCTGGGAAGACACAAAAAACGCGAGGATATTTCTAATTATGTTTAATTAATTAATTATGTCTAATTAATTGTCTAGTGATCGATTGGCTTGTTTCACTGCTTCATTGTTCCATTTTGTTTTGTTCTCTAGAATTTATGTATATACCCAAAACTTTTTTCTTAGCGAATGACAATCTCATTTACCAACTATCGTGTAAAGATAACTCAAAAAGCAATAAAGCTAACTTGACAAAATTCCAGAGCTTAGGTTGAACACATTTGTCACTTCTAGTTCATGCAATTAAAATATAAAAGACTTTGTAATGTAAAACGTCATGTAAAATGTGATGTAAAATGTAATGCAAATTTATGTACATTTTCAGTTTACCAATAAGGTAAAAATATTTACAGCTAAATAATTTCATGGTTATAACGATAGACTGGTTAGTCATTGCGTTTGTTTATTTTCCATCGCGTTACTATGGTAATTGCATAACTATATGGTAACTCCTCTTACTCAGAATAAGGGCTGCTTTCCACTGTTGCGTTTTCTCACGCGCGGAAAATTTTAATTGCTTCCAAATTGTTATTTTACATATGGGTCAACAAATGCATACTAAAATACTCGACTAGCTTTTTCAAATATGACATATATAAGCCTTTAGACTTTTATCAAAAACGCGTTTTTAGCGTTTTTCCGAAAAAAAGGATACTTTTTTTTAGTGGACCGCTTCAAAAATCGATTGAGGTATAGGTTCACATGCATGCATACACAACATATGTATACTATATTCAAACCTGTCTGGAGGCAAGCGAAGTAGTATAGGAAGAATCTGTGCAATGCCTGAGCGGCAGAGCAGATCATCTGAAAAATAACGTTTGACACATTTACATGAACAACAGAATTATCTGAGAAAGATTTACGCGTGAGATAAAATAATGGCCAGCATGATTGGCCCAGGGGTATCAATATACAAAAGATTACGGATCACTACAGGGTATACAAAGGCTTTAAATAGAAATTGGAATTGGAATGGTCTCGAATCTTTGTTTTGTGGTTTGCGATCCCATTGCCATTGGTGTAATGGGTAATATTTGATATAAAAATGAACATGTTGGAACGCGCAAAGCAGACACATATAACTACCATGATGTGATTTATATACTTTAATCGAGACTACATCACACGATGCCGGCATAGAATTCTGCCTATACTCTAGAAAATCATCACGGTTTAGGATAAGTATTAACCGCGGTGTAACCGGATAAGTATTATCAGGTTTTGACGTTGCGGTCACACAGCACCGGTTCCAATGCTTGTTTCGTTTTCTTATTCAGAAATAAATTCGTAAAATACGACATAATGAAAGGTTTGCTTTGTTTACATATGGAATAAAAAAATACATGTACCAGAGATGGCTTGAAGTATACCAAGTGATGCTTGAAATATAACAGAGGTCCCTTTAATACAAAAAATAAGTTGTATAACGATATGCCCAAAAATAGACCCATATTGCACTTATCCGTCAGGCAGAACTGAGTTAACGTTCTAGTTCCGCCTGTTTATTCGTGAAAAAATTATACCCCTCATAATCGGGGAATGTCTTGATAATCAAAGAATAAGTTGTATAACGATTTGCCTAAAAATAGACCCAAAAATGACTCGACGTTCTGACCCAATAGACGTTTTCGGTAATTACCTCACCACATGTTAACATCACAACGTTTTAAATTTAGAACAACCTTAAATGAAATTGATTTCAAGTTTTACTCTCTCGAGCCACGTGCAAAGATGCAAAACATCCTTCTTCACGACATGAATGAATTTTTGTTTTGTTTTGACCAATAAATGTGGAAATATGCCATAACACGAGAACGAGGCTGAAGGGGCAAGACCGCATCGTTCCAGCGTTATGGCTTATTCCCATACTTATTAATCAAAATGAAAAATTATTTTTCATGCACGGGTTATAGAAGGATGTTTTGCATCTTTGCGCATAGTTTGTAGGAGTAAAACTTAAAATCCATCTTATTTAAGGTGGTTCTAAATTTAAAACGATAATAATGTGACGTAATTACCGAAAAGGTCTAAAACGGTCTTCATGGGTTAGTATATAAATTTGAAAATGATTCTAGCCTCTGAATGGTCGACCGTTAAAGCGGAATTTTCAAAGTGGCAGAGAGTTGTTTATGTCAAAGTGATAGATCAATAAAACCACAAAGTCAAAAGTCAAAGTAAAAAACTAAGTTGTAAAACTATATTTTGCGAAAACATAGTTTTATATTTGAATCGCTCTATAACTGTTGACATAACATGCATATTTGCATAACATGCATATTGCATTAACATGCATATTTGCATAACATGCATATTTGCATAACATGCATATTTGCATAACATACATATTTACGTCACACATATTTTACAAACGTAAACATGTATTTTCTACAACAGTTCTTTTTAAAAAATCACCTTATATGTAATTATACTAAAGCAATTATTCACCTCCGGCTCGGATATATCGTTGTCGCTGAATAAAAACCCCGACTTCGTCCCGGTTTTTATTCAGCCATATATCCACCATGCCTTCAGGGAATATATGTTAAATATCAGAGTTAGTATATATTCATATACTGCTGATGAAGGCCTTTAGTTCGAAACTGTCTATATTCGGTTGTTGTTATACCAGATTTAATGAGAATTTGTATAAGCGGAACGTACCGACTCTCTCTTGTATAGAATTATACTTGAAGGAAATTTCACACTGACATACCGTCCAACAATAGAAGATCCCATATAGTAAGAACGCTGTCCCAACATGGAAGACTAGTGTAAAGTGCCATAAACCATGGCGTAATGTACAATAATGGATCAATACCATTTTCTTTCTGAAATTTATACGAAATAAACCGATAAATTGTTAACTACATCAAAATTAAATTTTTAGAACACGTGAAACTTGGAAAATATAGCCTAGCGAAGTTGGAAAATTTGGAATACTTTTGTATTAGTCATGTATCACTAAATTAGCTACACATTTCTGCCCATGATAAAAAGTATACAAAAATTGCTTGCTTCGCCGGCATGTCTATATTTTCCATACTATATACTTGACATTTTGCTGCCAAACTTGTATTTATTGTTTTTACTGTGCCAATTATATTTATTTCAGGTTGGCATCAAATGTGGTATAACAACTGCTTAAAATAGACAAAACACTTCGAGAAGTGTTTTGTCTATTTTAGGTAGTTCTTATACCACATTTGATGCTAAGTTGTTTGAAGACGCTGCCACGCTGGTCTCTGGTTTTATTTCAGGTCGCTCTTTTTAGCTGTGGTAATAAATTTCCTTCTTGTTACCTAGATCATTGGTCTATTATGAAAGTGGTCCATTGGCAAACTAAAATTATAACGGCTACTAGAACAACAGTGAGGATGTGTTTTATTCATACATTTAGTTCTACCTGACGGATTTCTATTGTGGGTTATTGCACTGATAAAAGAAATCCGTCGGGCTGACCTGAATTGTCGTTCTAGTTACGCCTCTGTTGATTCGTGAAAAAATTATACCCCTCTGATAATCGAATTTAATTTTTTATGGATCAAGGTTTCTGATTCTTAACCTACCAAGTGTTCGTGAAGTCTTGGTATTTTCTGACTAAGTAATCTTTCAAATACCAGAGAATGCCTCTGAATTCTGTAGAGAGAATAACAAAAAAAGCAGTTTCCGTGAATAAAACTTGGCAGGTACTTGGCATGTTCTACCAAACATCGTAAGCTGTCTATAGTATAGTATAGCATAGCATAGCATAGCATAGCATAGCATAGCATAGCATAGCATAGCATAGCATAGCATAGCATAGCATAGCATATAGCATAGCATAGCATAGCATAGCATTGGCCCCGGTTGTACGCGAAAGCTGCATATAGTGCCATCCCCCGGATAGCAATTTTTCAACCGTTGCAAACATGCCTGAAAAGCAATGAAATTACAGCTAATAAATTACACTGATCAAACGGGATTTTAGACCGATTGAAAAAACACTATCCGGTGCATGCATCATAACACTTAGCTTTCGTAACGGCCTCTGCATGCTATTTCTGCCGCCTAACATTTAAAAAAAATAGAGTAGCTATATACTTGGAAAGCGTGGAATCAAAATAACCAGACAAATATTTTGGTCTTTCAATGAGAGACGCCAACATCCAGAATGCATCCTATTGAGACATGAAGCAGTACAAGGCATGAATTCACTTAAAATTATATATGTCCTCAGTATCACGTCATCATATATAACTACAGCTAGTACAGTAGGAGAAAGCATATATAACGAACCTCTTCGCACATCTGTGTTAACAACATTCCAGCAATATAAGACATACCTTATTGATGATAAAATAAATAGAGATTACTTCATGGTTGGCGAGTACGTACGATTTTTATGTACTAGTTGTGAAGGATCGCAAAACGAACGAGCGAGCGCAGCGAACGAGTGAGTTTGCGATCCTTCACAACGAGTTCATAATAAAAATCGTACAAACGAGCCAACCATCAAGTAATTTGTTTATTAAATGTGTACAGAGATCAATTCGACAACGGCACGTTTTTAATGGCGAGCAACAAAAATCGAAATTTTATGCATCAAAACATATTTATTACCGTTCAGTTTCTTTGTACTTTTGTTCAATAGAAGTTAGATATTCTTTCCGAAAGATCATCTTGAAAAAAAATGTAAACAAATTGCCGCCAAAATGAGATACGCCAATTTTTCAGGTGTGAAGAATATCGTACGTCCAATCAAAGCCGTGTATGGCATTTTTTCACACGTGAAAAACATCGTACGTCCAGCCAAATTGCATAAATTAATTTATACAGTGAAATACGATCTTTATTTCATCATTCTGCTGTGCATAAATCTCTATACACATTATAATAAAGCAAATTATTTGGTGTAAAACGCAATACACTTTATACAGCCATGCATGGCAACAAAAACATGGATTGTGAAAGAACATGAAATGTGATAATTATAACAAGATCGTCAGCGTTTCCCGACATTTGTTTTTGTTTCTGAAGTTGAAGTATGGATACTGTATATGCATATAGTTAATCACAATAATCTGATTATTAATGAACATTTCTTTGCACTTTGCCAGTTTGCCAGCCTTCAGTAAACTTATGTCAGTTCCGCGCTTTCGTTTTTGAAAAACCTATAGTCAACTCGCGTCATTACCTTGACAGTAGGAAACTTGTGGATTGTACAGGACATAGACGGCTAAGATGCGAAATAATGCAGCACGTCCTTCTTTACCCGAAATTGTGCCCGCCATAAACATTTTGTGTGTTGGAAATGTCCGATCTAAAGATAATTTATAGTGACTGGTGAGTCGGGGGCTGTAGTATGATGTCATACATATAGCATTATTATATGCTATAATTATATGCTATATGTATGATATCAAACCTGGCCCATGACTGTTGGGCTACCTGTGATCAGAGTTGAAAAACAATACAACGAGACCCTGCATCGACGCTGCATGCTTAAAGAGAAAATTTTAAGGATTATACTCCTATCATGCAGAAACGGTTTACGTTTACCTGCATCAAGGAGAACCTGTCTGAATGCATTCAGATGGGTGCGTGTAACTTCGTCCAATTCTAATTTAGGTCTTTCAATCATGATTGTTTCCTCGTCTTCATACGAACCTACAGTAAATAATTATATAAAGATGTCTTAGGGCTGACATTTAAAAAAAACACTATTCAATATGAAAAATATCAACAGGGCAGCATAAAAGTACATTATTATTACACATGCAAACAGTAGCGTAGCCAGAGCCTGACGATTTGTCCCGCTATGCTCATATTTTGGTGTTCATTGACTGTGAAAACAATGAATTTCTAAAGAAATGAATAATTATACCAACACGAAATTTACATAGAGGGACAAAATCGACAAGCTGGCTACGCCAATGCATGCAAAACTGTTGCGCCTATATTATATCCACCTATTTGAAAGAAATTATGCATGCATGGAGTGGAATAAATCAACGCATCTTTTATTAAATAACGAATTACGAATTTGATTAAAACATCGATTGCATCATTCATTACATGCAATATAAATTTAATATGTCCATCAGTATCCCATTTTCGTTTAGAATTATCTGTTTTTCATCTTGTCATACATGCATCTATTATAGGAAAGTGTATGGTTCGTTTCCTCTTGAAATGTGTTGCCATTCGAAGAAAAGCTTGCAAAATGTCACTGAACAAGTGCCCTATACTTTTTCTGGAAACAAGGGGCAATTTTGTTTTTAAACTAAAGGCAAAGCCAATCAGAATGCCTAATTTTTTAATACTTTTAGGCAAAATAAGCAATCCATCATGTAATTATGCAGTCGTGGCCGAGTGGTTAAGGCAGATTGCAACCCGCGCAGGTGTCGCTCGGAAGAAATCCAAGAAAGATTTTAAGTACAACAAAATTTAAATGTCTTTTAAATTTCAAGCATCACTGCTAGAGTTCTAAACATAATATGGACGATCTTCATTGTTATCAGTTTCATTATTCATAGAATTGATATATATATATATATATATATATATATATATATATATATATATATATATATATTATTTACAGATTTCTTGCAGGCGTTCAATTGCAATCATAGTCCTTAAGGTAACTGGGTGGCCTTCTTTGACGTTGTGGTCTGTTGCCTGTCAAGGTTTGTGGTGCAGGAACGGTTGTTGGGCCTATGGGTGCTATCAAACATTGTGGTTTGTTGCCTGCCAAAGTTTGTGGTGGTTACGGTTGTTGGGTCTATGGGTGCTGTCTCTTCCTGGGTTCGGCCTATGGGTGCGGTCTCTTCCTGGGTTCCATCATCCAATGCTGGGTCGTCCAGAGGTTCGTCCTTGTCCTGTCAGGATATGGACCATAAACGGTACTTCCTCCATCCGAAGTCTCAGCTTGTCAGGATTTAATGCAATTCCGCGTTCCTTGCAGCAGCGCAGAAGGTTGATCAATTTAACGTCATGGTCCTTCTCTGCTTCTTCCTTTGTTACACCGACGCCATAGATTAAAATATCGTCCGCTATGTTGAACGTACCATCGAGACCCTCTAGAGCAAGATTCACCTGCTTTTGAAAGATCTCGGAAGAGACGCAAAGGCCGAAGTGTAACCAGAGCCATCGATAGCGACCGTATGGAGTAGAAAAGGTGGTCAGCATGCTCAATTCCGTGTCAAGTGGGCAGTGCCAGTATCCGGAACGAAGGTCAACTGTGGAGAAAAATTTTGCTTTGGAGAGCTCAGGTAGGATCTCGTCGAGGATAACCATCTGATGCCGTTCCCTCTTGAGGGCGGTATTAAGGGGATGTCATCACATTTAACGCCTTTAAGAGAGGACTTCTGAAATACTATGAACACGCTGTTCAACATGTCTTTGATACATACCCGCGATTCTACCGATAATCCTGGCAGCATTCCTTCCATCATATTCTGTAACCCCAAGGTCAACTAACATGGTACGAACTTCAGACAATTTCTCCTATAAAGAAATACTATTTACATCAACATTTAGCTCAAAACTAAAAGCAATAGTTTGGAGTTTGCAAAAAAAGTGAACATCGCTATCTATAGCAACAAATGAAAAATATTCCTGGTATTAACTACTTTTTAACCGAGTGTGAGGTCTGTACGGGAAAGTATTGCCTGAGATTTTTCGTCTGTGCGATAAAAACCGAAGGCAATACTTTCACGCACAGACCGAGCAAACGAGGTTAATAAAGGATTTATTATATGGCTTTGTTAGATTGCAATTTTTTTAAGATTGATAGATAAAATTGGCTGTTTTTGTTGTTGTTTTGCTCAGCGTTGATATCTTCGGCTTCAAACGTGGCATTTGGGTCATTTGTTTCCCCAGGATAGTAAAATTCTCGGGGAGTGCTCCTCGTCGCCACTGTACGGCATATGGCTTTTATTCGTTTCTTTTTCCAAAATTTGATTTCTATAATGAATGTTTTCACGAGCGCGCAAGATGAATTTTTGAGCGGGCAAGATTACCTTTTCCACACCGATAATCAACCAATCAGTGCGCGGCATTTACCTCTAGTCCACTTATCTGCAGTCTGTATATATAGCTATATTAATATAATCGGAGGTATAAAAGCAACTTAGGCTAAGCAAAATAATATAATTTTCACCACTGTCCTCATTAAACTTTGTGAGTGTAGCAAAAAAGGCAATCGCTTAGCCCAATATTAAAAAATATTCGACAAGTCACAGTTAATAATATTTAATCATAAAAGAGAATATACAAAATCACAGTTCTCAAAGTTGTCTCACTCACGATCACTCTCGCTCTACTCTCGTTCTCGTTACACCCTATCTAATAAATGATTGCAATTCTATCTCGTCATGCACGATCGATCAATTACTTACGTCATGCACGATCCTTGAATAATATGTCCTTAAATGGTAATAATAGTAACTTTGCTTATAATTATGTTCTTATCTATCCTGTCAGTCTCCGACACATTCCCCCATATAATTCGAGCTAGAGTTATATGTTCTGAAGAGACTGACATCGTCGTGGGTTCATCGTCCTTTCGACTACCTGCATGTTAACAAAACTAAGTTTAATAAGATTAAAGGTGATAAACGTGTCTATTCATTGTCCTAACTCGTGTCCCTGTTCGTTTGTGCTTGCTGCTCTATTCGCAGGGTTGCTGCCGCTCGAAGTCAACTCCCAGCACTCCCAGGGTTCGTGCCTTGAGTCCGCGTCGGTGGTAATCGGCCCGGGGGTGGTCTTTGGTAGGCTCGCGACCTGAACCTGACACAACCATGACACTTACTTCGTACTTGTTTCACCAGTCGCCGTAATTTCGCGACCCAATACCTCTCGCGTATTTTGGCCATCGTTGCCAATGCTCCGCCATGGATTCGTTACCTACTACGTTCCCTCCTCGACTCCCCAGATCCGCCGGGTTCTGAAGTGTCGGTACATGATGCCATTCGAGACGCTCATGCTCACGAATCTTCTTCACGCGGTTGGATACGAACTGGCGATATTCCCCTTGGCCATTGATCCAATAGAGAGCCACTGTAGAGTCTAACCAGCAATGCATCTCGGTCACTGTCTCTCTCCTAAGCGCTGCCTCCACACTACTAATCAAGTTCCCAGCCATATGTCCCGCTACGCGTTCTAATCGAGGGATGGTGAGACTTTTCTTCGCAAATCTAGTAAAAGCACAAGAGCCCTTGCGTTGTTCCTCCTTCCTGTTCGACAACTGCGTATACGGCTGCTGCTACTCCTTGCTTACTCGCATCACCAAAGGCGTGAAGGTTCACCGACAAGATGGACTGGTGATGGGGCCACGGTCCTACGGTTCTCGTAAGCCTCTGGGAAACGCATATACCAGTCGTTCCACCGTCTCTACAAGGGTTGAGGGAATTCTCCATCCCAAGCCAGGTTCGATTCACACATTTCTCGGTAAAGGAGTTTTCCGCGGGTAGGGTTGTAGGTGAGACTAGGCCGAGGGGGTCGTACACCTTTGCTAGCTGGGACAGAGCATCTCTCTTGGTTGTGGCTGGATGCTCCTTGTTGGTCACCACGCTGAGTAAATCTTGTTTCTTATTCCACGGCAAACCGAGCAACTTCGTCCCGAACATTCCAGCTCCCAAACGTTGTTTGGCCAACGTCGTTTCTTTCGCGCGGACGTCGTGTTTCGCGATTTGTTGTTGATTCTCTTCGAGCTCCGGCGAATTGGAATGCCACTTATGGAGTGTGAACCTTGCATTTTCAAACACTTCAATCTTTTTCTCTCTCGCTTCTCCGGTATTAACACCTAGCTCCAGTAATCAGGTCTTCTACATAGAGACCCTTCCGCATTTCGCCAGCTAATATAGCTAACCGTTGAGCACGCCACCGAGTAGAAAGGGAGAACGCGTAAGCCCGAATAATGCTCTCGTAAATCTATACGCTACAACTGCTTCGCTTCCCGGAGAAATCTCAACGCGTCTCGTTCCGACTGTTTCACTCGGACTTGAAGGAATGCCTTTTCTAGGTCGCCGGTCAGGAGTTTAGGGTAAAATCGCGCTCGAACGAGGATGCTCCATAGAAGGTTTTGTAACGGAGGGCCAGAGTTCAAACAGTCATTCAAAGAATTTAGAATTAGATTGTTTAATAAATCAAATATTGCAGTCAGTAAGACAGAATTACAACTGATTTTACACGATATTTCTCTAACTAAATAATTTATATATTTATATATATATATATATATATATATATATATATATATATATATATATATATATATATATATATATATATATATATTTCCTAAAACGCTCTGTCTTAATTAGAGGGAGTTCATACTTTCTTATAGTTCGAAGATTATTATAAACACCCGATTTTACACTTGGTAAAAGATTATTCCATTTATGATTCTGATTTTGTTCTATTTGATCAAAAAGCTTACATAAGTTTACATAAGTATTCTCGTCTATCAAAAAGTGACTCCAGATGTCCCCGTTGCAAGGCCTCTTTGTACTTCATACCAGGGGAAATAATCCTCATTGCACGTCGTTGTATTCGTTCCAGATCATCAGATAGATATGTAGGAAGATTCGAATGGGAGACTTCACACAGGCATATTCTAACACTGATCGAACACATGCATTATAGAATTGAATTAAATATTTTTCTTTCACATCAGCTCGTCGCAGTTGTTTTAGAAGATAAAGTCGTTTTGAAGCTTTAGCAACCACCGTTTGTATGTGTTTGGTCCATTTAAAATCATCTGTTAGGATTAATCCCAAAACTTTCGCTGATTTTACAATTTCAAGATGTCGTCCATTCATAGTAATTGGATTAAACATACCTTCGTGCTTGGCAAATTGAATCCTCATCTCTTTACATTTTTCGGGGTGTAGATGTAATTTATTCTGTTCAGACCAATTAACAATTTTATCAACAACTGGCTGCAGCGCGCTATTGCTGTGTTTAGGAATGACTTTTGAAATTGTAGTGTCATCTGCATATTTCCATATATCTTCTGAGGGCTCGCCGGAAAGTCGGAGGTCGTTAATCGTAGCAAGAAAGAGCCAGGGTGAGTAATCCTTCATTACGCCATTGAAAGGCTCATTAATTCTATTTGCTAAATTTTGACCGTTATTGGAATCGTTATCATGGGAAATAGTTCCTATATAGACTGAAGATTTTTCCGGTTAGGTTTTTAGGCCGGATAGTTGCTTCACTTCATGCCACCAATCTCTAAGTTTGCAGTCGGATAGTTTTTGCATTTTTGCTTTATAATAACGTTTTCGACACTTTTTTCTTTCCCTATTTACCTTATTTCGTAGCAGCCTGAAAAGAAATATATCTCCGGAAGTAAAAGCTTTTTGCCTTTTCAGGATCAAACGTTTAAGTTCCTGCGTCATCCATGGGCGATCGTTGACTTGTACATTTGTCTTTCGTTCTGGCATAATTGTATTTAAACCGTAATTTATAACTTGTGTAAAAACTGAGAGTTTATCTTTACTAGACTGATGACATGCCAGCAGGGAATCCCATGGGACATTTGTTAGAAAACGCCCTAAACAGGCAACATAGCTCTCTTATCACGAAATTTTAATCATTTTCTTTTGTGTTTCCATCGCTTTTCGTAATTCGGGACAGACGGTGATAGTAATACGGTCAAACAAACCAAAAGGAGGGCCAGCAACTGGCGAACTATAATAAGCTTTCAAGTTGGTAAAAATTTGATCGAGTATATTCGGCCCTCTTGTGGGAAAGCTGATAATAGGCTTTAGTTGAAAACTTTTAGCAGCATGTTTAAAATCAAGTTTGTTAAAATCACCCAATAAAATTATTCCACAACTTATATAATTCACTTCAATATATTGCAATGAGGTTTTCAGATATTTGAGCATTTCTCTATTGTTAGCATTTGGAGGGTGATAAAGGACGCTAACAATTATCTTCGAAAAACCACGGGAAATTAAGTGGTTTTGGCTGTAACATTACCCATAACACATCATGATCGTCATGGTAGAGATCACCTAGGAGTTTACACTTAATATTATTTTTTATATAGAGACAACCCGTGATTTCTTTGTTTACGGTCCCTTCTTAGTAATTGGTATCCTCCTATATTGACCGAACAATCAGGAATTGAATCCTTTAACCAAGTTTCAGTTATAGCAACCATCTCACATTGATTTTGCTTCACGAGACATGCTACTTGGGGTCAACGACATCACGTTTGAGAGCGAGATGGATGAGACGAAGTATTTTAATATAGGAAGTTTCTTTCCGTAAGCAATTGAAGTACGTTTTATAGATCTTAACTGCCGGAAAATTGGTGATCTTCGAGAACGTCCACGATTATGATTAGTTTGGCTTCGTTGTCTTATGAGCACTGGGATTTCTTTTTTTGGGCGCTTAATAGAAATGGGGGTTAAATTTGGCCTCGGTCGTTTTGTGTGACCTAGACAAGTGTTCCAAATTGATCTAAAGTATGGTTGATTGACTGTAGATAAGCTTCCCAGGACTCGGTGTTTTCGAGCTGAAATTCTGACCTTAATTGAAAAGGTTTCGCTGTATACGTCGGCATCGAGTTCGATATTTCCTGGGGATTGTGCATAATTGTTCCTGGATTCTGTGTCTTTTTGTTATGGGGTGGATAGCGACCTTTTCGAAAATTCTTGGAGGAAGGGTTTGTTTGCTTATGTCTGGAGATTCGATTATTTCGGTCATTGGTTTTCTGAGATTGCATTCTGTTTGCTCTAGGTTTGTATGCTTCTTTTAGGGTAGGCTTTTCTTTTAAAGCAGGCTTATCGATTATTACGATAGAATCATTGAGCGTGCTTTGGTTGATTACTCGTATTTTCGTTAATGTGTTCTTGTCAATCTCGATCCCAGGACTCATCACAAACCAGCCGAGCTTAGTTTTCTCTGCGACAGGTTCTCCGTCTTTTCCAATGAGGGGTTTCGTACTGGTTTTGATTCGAGCGTATTCTCCACTCCCGAGTATGAGATGTATTGGGAGATGTCTCTTCGTATCGTTGTCGTCAATCTTGGCCAATTCTAGGTGTCTATAACGTTGTATTAACTTATCGTAGTTCAGGTTACTGATTGATAAGAGTTCGCTTTTATCGACTTTGGTCAATTGGACGTCCATTTCGTAACTTCCGTCAACCGAGCTCACTTTTGCGTCATAGAATTCCATCCTCGCGGTTTGGGTGGTCATTAGCATATCTATGCGTTGACGTCTTATTTCGCGTCGTTTTATATTTAGAGCGTTAATCAATTTAGCGGACTCTCAGCTCTCTGCACCGGAATCAATCAGCGCTCGACACATTACGTTGTTCACGTTTACTGTCACCACAGGAAAAATGCCCTCTCCACTTTGCCCGTCTGTCATCAACTTCAAATTCTTATCATTAGGATTGTCCTCATGCTTTTCATTCTTTTGGTCACATATTGAAGTGTGATGACGCCTTTGACAGTGGCTGCAGGCAGTTTTGCCGGCACATTCCGAAGCACGGTGGGTTTTCATTGCACAGTTAAAACATATAGGCCCTTTTCGCTAATATACGCTTTCGCTCAGTTACATCTTTAATTTTTTCGCACTGGACTGCCCTGTGGCCTAGCTCCCCGCAATTGACGCAACCCCGGGGTCTGAATTTCTCGCTACGAGCGTTAAAGAATTTTTTCCTAGCGTGCTCTTCGCGTTCCTTATTGATATTGGGGTTTCGTTTAACCCATTGCTTCAAGGCTTCAGTTAGATTTGCGAAAGTCCAGGACTCCCAGGCTGGGTCAGTGCAAACGAGATCCCCCGTATACCATATAGCTTATCTAGCGTCATAGGCACATTCCCGTTGATTTCGCTGAGCTTTCCCATTGTCTCCAGAGCTTGAAAGTAATGAGCGAGCTTTTCATAAAATTCCGCAATTTTCCGTGGGTTGGCACCCGATATCTGAGGCAGGTCTAAAATCTCTTTAATATAACATATGACTATTTCAGATTCCTTGCCATATGTCAACCAAAATGGATTTTGCTCGGTTATAGCCCTCGGGCCGAAAGGAAGGACCTCAACACAACGCTTTACTTTTGGTTCAGAGCAGTTCTAACAGATAGGTAAACTTCGTAATCGGTGCGACTGCACTTTTGTCTATCGCTTCAGTGAATTGTCCCCAGAATTTGGGCCAATGTACCACCCAACGAATTTCGTCATAACAAGTTTTGGCGATTTAGCGTCTGGTTTTGCGGCGGATTTTTCGCATTCCTCAGATTCTGCTTGTTTCTTAGCTTGCATTTCCAACTTTTTCTCATGCAACCTTAGTTCTCGTTTAAGTTGCTCCTCTTGCACTACAAACTTTTCTGCGCGTTTCGCCTCAGTTAACCATATCTCAAGTTGTGCAGTAGCCTCGTCAGCTAGTTCAAATTTGTCGTCGTCAATCTCGCGTCAATCTCACAAAGCGAACTGTCAAGTGAATTGCCAATCTCATATGGGGTACCTCAGGGGAGCATTCTAGGACCCCTTTTATTTGTCATCTATATAAATGATCTACCTAGTTTTGGAGTCTTGCTCACTTTATGCTGATGACACGGTGATTTATTGTTATGGTTCGTCATCCCAGGAACTCAATGAGAAGTTAAACAGAAACCTCTTGACAGTAGCAAAGTGGCTGAACGAACATAAACTTACTCTGAATTTAGAAAAATCTAAATGCATGCTTATAGGCAGCAATCGCAAATCAGAAAGTAAAGTGCCTCTAACAGTGTCAATCCTGGATCATAAAGTGGGTAATGTCTGTACTTTCAAGTATTTGGGAATTTTCATATCATCAGACTTTACATGGACACATCATATTGAACATATTGTGAAGAAGGTTAATCAATGGCTCGGTCTTCTTATAAGTGTTAAGCACTTATTACCATTCAAATCACGACTCCTTTATTATGCTAGTATTGTAATGCCGTTATTCGGTTATGCTGATCTAGTGAAAATTGATTACTGGACAACTGGGGTCGGTTGTTCGAAAGGCGTTTAGCTTAAACGGTGGATAAGTTCAAAATAAAAAATAAAATGATCTCTTTACTGGACAAATGAGCTGGAATATTTCGATGTAAATAGCTTAATTTTCAATGAAAGTACATGTTTAATGCATAAAATGCAGGTTCAGTCATTCACAAGATGTATGAGAGTACTTTTAAGTTTTGGCTTATCCACCGTTTAAGCTAAACACCTTTCGAACAACCGGCCCCTGATTACCATGGGATAACAAACCTGGTACACAAATTTTGCATTATTCTTTAATAACTTGCTCCCAACAATAAGTTGCCAAAACTCTCCTCTTAATTCATGTGGTATTCCATTTTTAACAAAATTCCTTAACTACAAAATTAGGACAATTATGCCTATTAATATGACAAGATTACATTTGCAGTATACATATAATTTGCATGATCCAGCAACACTGCTATAAGGCTTCATTTGTTTTAATGCATGTATACTAAACAGTAAACATTCACCCACAGACCAACACAAACATGTAAATTAGACTGTAAGAATATATATATATATATATATATATATATATATATATATATATATATATATATATATATATATATATATATATTTGTTTTAATGCATGTATACTAAACAGTAAACATTCACCCACAGACCAACACAGACATGTAAATTTGATAATAATATATATAGATAGATAAAACAGTGAACCTTTTGAGGTGAAACAGCACTGTTCTGATCAAAATTGTGATCCAGCTTTTTCCACATGGCTTGAAGTGTTTTCACATCACAAAACAGTTCATCTGTAGGACTATATTAAGTGCGGAAAACATAAAGATGAAGCTAGAAATCTAAAAATTGAAATTAATAACTGCCAGGACATTGAGAATTAATTGTGATAATATGGTAAAGAAATGTGAAGCTCGATACAGTAAATATTAACAAGCCAATTAATTATCAGGTAAGAAATAACATGCATGCTAGGAATGCATGTTGACATCACGGCAAAGAAGATGCCAAGAGTTGACAATTTTGATCAATGTAAAAATACACGTTACAAAAATCCATGACTTTTGTTGATACAAAAATAAGCAATACAAACCTATATTTATGACATCTTTGTTCACCACTTAAATGTACCGAGCCTTCTGCAAAAACGGCAAAGCCATATTCGTCAAAACCAACAACTTCAGGTCGACCTGGAATCATTGTATAAGTCTGTATATACTCTCTATTAACTATTAAAAGTTAGTAAAGTAACGAAACTAACGATTACAATTCATGAAAGTAAATGAAATGACACAAATGGTCAGTGGGCTTACTTCTCCGTTCTTTTTCGAATTTTGGCGCACGACTTCTCCAACCTACGCTATTAACAACTTCCGGTGTGCCACTGCGCTGACTGGTTAATGGAAACGACAGTAGAAAAAAACTCAGTATCCCAATTATAAAATATAGAATATTCTTATCAACTTTGATTTTTGGATTTGGAATCCACAAAGTTTATGAACAATTTCATTGGTTGGCTACTAGACAGATATTAGCTCATATCTGTCTAGTAGAGAAAGTAAACAAAATGGCTGAAAGATTTGGGGAGTTGAGTGAAATAGAAATCCAAGCTTTAGTTGATAATAGCAGTATAGCACACCAAAATGCACCGAAAGGGCGACAAAGTTTGTGTATATAATAAAACAGTTTACGCCCCTCGCCGGCTATCAGCTCATATACGACTCGAGTTCGCAGAATAACTGTTAAGATATCTGTTAAATATTAGGCATTTATATTTGGCTTAGCTGTGACGTGTAAAATAATTAAGGAATAGAAAACATTTTCATAATTAAATAATTAAGAAATAGAAAACATTTTCCGTGTTTCTATACAGTTATAGAAACACGCGTGGGAGTTTGGGAGAACGAGAAATAATCAGTGGAGAACGAGAAATAATCAATAATCAAATATTTCGAGTTCTCCAAAACTCCCACAAGTGTTTCTATAACTGTATAGAAACACAGGAAAAACGTTTTCTATTTCTTTTATAATATAACTCGATAAAAAGATTTTGTACAAACATTATAATTCGATCCAATTACGAATTCTCATTACATCGCTTCGCTTGACAACTTCGGCGGGAAAATTCCCGTGTTTTTATACAGTTTTAGTTTACACCCGATTTTTGTTTATTACAAATCCTACATTCTGATTGGCTACTTAACCATTGCCTTTTCGTGATGGTTGCACGCTCAGGCTTCGCCTTCGTTGACTATTCGCCTTCGTTGACTATTCGCTCATAGACAACTCCGACTCGTTGTCTAATCAGTTAAATACAACACGCTTCTCGACCAATCAGCACGCGCGTACTATAAATGTTATATTATAATCTCCTTTAGTTGCTAGGTTTGTAACAAACTACAACTCAACAATGTTGCCGTAATTCATAATATTGCTTTGATTAGTGTATATTTCATAGTCCTAACTCTATGCCTATGGTTATATGGCTCTATGGATAGAACCACGGAGTGATAGAACCGATTGATCAGCGATATTAAATCCTTAGACATTCTATGATGCCTTTGTGAATTTTGGGGATTACGAATCGATTTTTGAGTGTAGTATTTAAAAAACCGATAATTTTATTATTTTATAACCACGTACTGATATGGCTGCGGTACACCTGCATACTATGGTAGAGAAAGCGAATCACGAAATTATTTTGAATTGTAAGTCAGAAGAAACAGTCAAACACGCTCTTTTTTTATTGCAAGGGGAAATTAAACCATATTCAATTGGATTAACAAGTGAAAGCTTAACAAACGAACCTAAGCCCGAATTAATAAAACAGCAACAAACTAAGCAAAATGGTAAAGATTTGCCAATTACCAAAGCAAGCGAAGTGCTGGTGTATCACAATGGGAAATGTCATGGATGGCCTTTGGTGGACAAAATGTTTAAAGCATTTTTAAAATTGGATAGAGGAGTCAATCTGGTGAAAGTGCGGTGTGATGAGTTAGCAGTGGAGAGAGATTTGCAAATTTGTTATGAAAAGCAAATGAATCAACCAAGGTGCATGCGCATGTTATCGTGTTCTTATGTAATAATCTGCTAGTGATAATTCAACTTGCATGTAGATCTGCTCCTTATTAATATTTTAGTCTGTACTTCCTTTTAATCTCAGGTAATTTGGCTTGACATTGAAGAATCATGGCCATGCATATAAATGTATAAAATTAGGGCTATTAAGGCTCCTGCTACTCCAGACTTTTGGTATACCCCCCTCACACTGTCCTTAGAATGACCCCTGGCAGTCATCAAAAAGAATGTCTATATGCAGTATTCATATTGTGTGCAAATAATATTTTGGGATATTGGATACCAACACCCTAATTGTAATGTAATTAAACCCCTAAAAAACACATCCAAACTAGTTTTTTTAAACATTTGTTTCAGGTTTGTTCGTGTTGTTTACATCAAATGCTCAGACAGCGATGGATCATTTGATGCACCTGAAAATAAAAATAACAGCATTGAAATTGCTTTGAAAAAGCTTAGCTTTAATGCAAGGCTTCTACAGACATTTATGGCAGAGGATATGAATAGGCATGGGTTTGGATACCAGACATTTGAACTTGAAGAAAATGATGATGGCACAATTTTAATTCATGTTTTCTCAAGTGGCTTGACCACTGAGAAAGCACATCAAATGAATGGTGATGAATTGTACAGTTGGTTTCTGGAAGGTAATTGACATTATTTAATATTCTATTGTAGTAAAATCTGTTGACCATAATTAGTAACTGGAACAGGTATTTTGAGTGAAATAGAGCATTGGAGATGACATTGTCCATTAATGAGGATGACATTGCCCATTAACAAGGATGACATTGCCCATCCAGGCCAAAATCTAGGCAGGAGCAAAAAGGCAGTGACACTTAATATGTATACTGTGTTCTAGGTGAACACAAAGTGAGATGATAATTGCAACTATGAGAGTAGATATACATACCTGGTAAACAGACTTGATGAAAAGAGCTTAATACAGTACCCTTTTAGGTACCCCTGGCACGGAGAGCCCTGCGAGGGTACTAATTCCCCTAGGAGATTAATTACACCCGGGTATTGTGACAGAACATAGACTGGTGTACCCACTTTTTTGTACTGCGCATGCTCGGCAAGTGCCTGTATAAGATGGAAAGTATAAACACTCAAGTGTGACATAGTGGAATCCAAAGTTGTCCAAATTCTATGTCATGGACACTGAGCTATACTATAATCAGTGAATGACTATAATTCCTGGGGAACTTACCTGCAACCAAAAAGTGAAGCAAAAAACATGGCGTATTTCAGCGTTTGCTGATGCCAGATTGATGCCACCGGTTCCTATTCGCCATGGTAGTTACCACTGACCAAGGCTCAATTCTGAACCCGCTACAAATGCACTCCCCCCTGGTTTTTGTTAAAAATAATATTATTTTTCATTATTATATTTTCCGAACAAAATTCAAACGTCTGTCAATATTTTTGAACTGAAAACTTTTTGATCAAATATGTTCGACGTTTTTGTGAGGATGTGAGGATGTCGAAGTCGTTCGTACACGTTACTTCTGTCAAAAACAGGAAACTAATAAGAAATAAAACTTCGAGAAATTTGCCAAAATGAAAATGCAGTTGACTGACAGGTAAATATGTTATTCATAAATTTTATTTTTTTAGATAAAATTTCACAATTTTCTCGTGAACAGTCTTTAGATAGATGTCGTTGTTTATATATTTTTATATTTGACCAAAAAACGGCAGCACGAGATGTGATATGTATAGTTTGAACAACCTAAACACTTTTCTAAAAAGATTACCCTATTCTGGGAAGTCATTTATTTTACATATTACATCCATATTTCAGGCATTTTCTCCCAAAGAACGCTAAAAGGTAAAAAGATGTAAAGAAAACAGAGGCTATTAAAGAATCATTGGGAGGATGAGGATGTGCAATTTCTACCAAAATTAGCCTGCCTATTTGTTTTGCTGGATTTCATTAGCCAGAAGAAATAGTTTTTTCTGTACTGAACTATATCATCATATGTATATTGATGAGCTTATTACCTTGAACCTATAGTGATAAACTATTAAATTGAAACTTCCAGCAGTCAGCACCATGCAGTGGTCAGCACTATAATTTTCTGACTGCACAGGTGATGCTCCTTCCATGGTATAAAACCAGTGATTATGGCCACTGTGCAGGTCATATGCTTTTATATATTTGCAAATGATAATGCAGATCAGGCTGCATTAAGGAAGATTAGAACCAGGGATGTTTGTAGGCCAAGATATTCATGGTAATTATTATTGATTATATGCAAAAGGGCTTACCAGCTTCTCCCAGATTAGCCTGCAATGACTGGAAAGGTTCTTCGGAAAAGAAATAAACAAAGCCTTATCAATTTTAATATTTATTTTCTTTTAATTTGTAAAAATATAGGCCGTATTCTGTGGCCGATTATCGTTCAGTTTCGTTGCCCCCCTTCGGGCACTACTTGAAAACACGATAGAAAATTAGGATAAATTATAGAAAGTCTAAATTCACTTGTTTTCACCTGCACAAACCTGCAGTTTTCGAGCATTTCATCTTCGAAAAATCAGTGAATTTGCATGTTTTGCAATACAGCGACGCCATTTTGATTCAGGAAATGTCTAAGATACTTGGTGTAATATAGGACATATATAGCAGATTCAGCAGTTTTATACCAGTATACTAGTTTTATACCTAGTTTCCAGCATTTTTGCTGTGCAAGCAGGTTTCAACAAAGAAGCTTTGAATGGAGTTTTACGAGGTTTTTCGCAAATTTTCATAGTTTTTCAAAACTAAGTTAGTCAAAGAAGACTTAGACAACAATTAATCTGAAAAACAACCGCCAATTTTGCTTACACGCATCAAAATCATCCACGAGCGTTTTGTTTCTAGTCAAGTTATATAAAACAATTACTACACAATTCCTTTCCAGCATAACCTTTGTTTTATATTAACTACTTTTATAATACACACGCTTTCTCAAGAAAACTATAAATTTACAACATCTCAGTTTTTTGACAAAGTTAATTACCAACGCCTTTATCTTATTATAATCAATCCACTAAAAACGAATTTGTTGAGCGAAGACCCAGACATCTTAACGAAGTTGAAACAGAACAAATTTCAAACTTTTTGCTTATGAAAACGTGTGAGGACTTGTGACAACTGCCAAGTTGGCCCAAGTCTAAACTTGCTGAAGTATTGGAAAATGAATCTGGAAATCCAGAAGTCAATGATTGTGCATTTAACAAC